CTCATCAAAGCATCTTACTGCACAGATTTGCCGGGTATTTTCAAAGTGGCAACCTCTTCTGTGCTATAAGTAGATGCGTATAGGGGTCCCCATGACCTATTGCTAGCATCTGCAATTTCGGATAGCGTGTCAAGTTGAGTTGTTTTTTTTTTTTTTTATTCCTGATCTTCGGAAAAATGCATATTTACTGTCACTGTAACCCTCTGTCACAAAAGATGAACTATTTTTAAATGCTTCCTTCTTCTTTTGAAGAGTTACAGTACAGAATTCTGCCTGCTCTATAGACGTTATATTGTCATTAAAAATGATGGTAATAGAAGGAACTTGATTTAAGATCATCACTCTGGGAGGACGTGGAGGGGAGAGCCAAGACATTCTAGTACCTCTTCCCTTGCTAAACTTCCCAGGACATCCTTAACTGAGGGCAGAGGAGTAAACAATAGGAGAAAATGGTGCCTGTGCTTTTACTAGCCAAATATTTGTACTGCCCATGTGTTCACCAGCCTTATCATGTGCACCATGTTCAAAGGAAAAATACAGGATGTCCTTATTTACTATCTAATAGAGAAAAAGCTTAGCGAAAGAAAACTGCAGAGGAATCTAGGCAACTGGAGCAAAGAAAAATTGGTAAAGGAGCATGAAATAAGCTTATCTGGAGCCATGTGCCGGAAAAATGTGGATCACTATAGTCTTGTTCTGGTCTGTCATCACTACTGGTCTCTGATACAAAGAGCACATTGCTGCTCCTGGGCTGTAGTGGAGCTATAGTGGTTTGGGAGTTGCAATTAAAAAAATAAATTGGGAGAAGGAAAGGGATTCTATTTACATATAAAAGAAACTGTTACAGTGAGGAACTACAAACCCTGTGCTCTGAGGGTCTGACAGATTTGCACATAGCTTCCAGACACTGCAGTCTGACTTCTGCACAAAATACAATACAATTCTGCGCTGTTTTTTTCTGAAAGGTTAGGGCTTCCTCCTTCCTTTCCCTTTGCACTTGCCTCTGTTCAAAGGTTATACATGTGAATCCTGGAACTAAGGCACTTTGGGAAAGAGATGGCAAGACACCAAGTAAAGCCTGGTAAACTGAGGCACGTATCCCGTGCTGGACAAAGATAAGGCAGTACCGGGCGGAAGAACTGAGATTGGATCTGAACCCTCCGCGTGTGAAGTTTTTGCAGGGGTTTCGAAGTTTTTCTGCCTGGAAAAGCAGGTCTGTGGTGATTAGTGTAAGACTGGTTGGTTTCTCCTTGCCCTCGCCCCTTCACAGATTTTTGAGGACTCCAATAGTTTCAACAGGCATACATCAAGGTTTTCAGACTCTCAGATGTTAGATGGAAGTTGTCAAGGATATTTAGATTTACCCATAGAAACTTCAAGGGCGAGTTGACTGAAATCCCCTATGCTGCACTTAGCTTGAGGTTAAATTTGTAACTTCTTGCATGTAGTGAAACAAAGCCTTCTGATAAAGACAGCCTCGCTCTTGTGAGTGCTAAAGAGAATAATACAAGTTCCTGGGGATGAAACAGAATAATTCCCCAAACTAATGAGTAGGTAAAAAAGATAAACTGTATGTATTGGTCTCAATTTCTTTTCAGAAGGCAGCTACGAGCTTGAAATAGAATTTCTCTTTTTTTTAAAAAATGGTGATAAAAATAACTGAATTCAACTCTTCTCTTCCAACGTTTTTGGTTTCACAGTCTGGCTCCCTTGTTTAAGAAAAATGTTTTGCTTGCCTTGTAGTCGTGTGAAAATCTTTTTCAATCTGTAGCTGAAGCCCAGCTGGTTAACTAGTAGAGGGAAAAGCAAAGCGATACAAAATACTTTAAACCAAGGAATTTAGATCAAAGTATTTTCTGCTGGAAGACCTGACCTTGAATTTTAAACTTAGAAAGAGTATCAAGATTAACTGGTCAGATGTTATATATAACAGCCAGTTCAGGAATCTGCTGGTAAAAATCCACGGAGACTGTGTGTTAAGCTGGATGTCTTTTCTAGAAGGAAGCTGCTTGAATTTCCAGGCTCTGCACTGATGGAGAAATTCCCGTGGTCTATGGTAATATGTTACAGTTGTTAATTACTCTAGCTACGAAAAACATACAAGTTATTTCTAGTCTGAGCATTGATTTACAACACCCAGTGAATGTCTCCGATGGATTTAGAAGCCTTAAGGAACTAATTTTTCAGTTAGTCATCTCGTAACCGCAATGGGTAAACATTATTCCACATAAAGCATGACTTAAGTTAACTCTCTGACTTCCGTTAACTCCTAAACTTTATTCAGCTCCATAGCTCATGTGGCTGGATCAGGTGGTAGACAGGGATACAGAAGAGCGGGAAGAATCTTCTCCCGGAGAAATACCGAACTTCCACTCTTCTGAGGACCCACATGGTAGCAAATGAGCCACGGCAACAATGGTCTTACCAGCGGGAAGCAGCTGCCACGTACAACTCTCAAAATAAATCATGACATGATGCTGTGTAACCAAAAGGGCATCTTCTCTGCAACCAGGAGCCGTCCATACCTGCAGGACAAGGGTCCGGATGCAGCCCCTGAATGATGTCCTGGCAATGAGCTTCCATTTCTTAGGCAGGTAAAACTCCTCCTGTCTTCTGGGAGGATTTGCTTGAGTAACTTTTGAACAGGGTGTACTTGGAACATCTAAATGTGTATGAAATGGCCAGTATGGGCTCTGTGTGCAGTAAGGTACAGCTGGAAGGTGACAGCATGCCGCTACCGTGGAGCGATGCCTTCCACTAAAAATGCCATCTAAACCGCAGAGAGCTGACATACTGATTTAGAAAACAGTTGTGGCTGCTTAGAAAGATTTGGCGTCCCTCGTGCTAAAGTCCTTCACCAGAGGTTATGCCTTTCCCTCCACAGGATCCGCAAAAAGGAACCACCCAAGTGCCACAGGGTGAAATCTTCTGGTTTAGGTTAAGCTGCTGCTGAAAGTGGGTGGTAGCTTTTTTTTTCTATTGGGTGTTTTGGGGAATTTTGCAGGGGGAGGGGTTGCTGGGTTTTTGGGGGATTTTGGGGGGTTTTTTTTGCTAGGCCACTGCAGGATGCTTGCTTCTGTCTCCTTTCCCACAATGTACATGATGAGAACAGTTACGTCCAGCTCAACATTGGCAAGGAACCACTGAGAGCCACAACATCTTGAATCACTCGGACCGTTTGCTCAGGGGCCGCTGGTCAGCGTTTGCAGATGGATGTTTTTTGCACAAAGTCCATAGCCTCAACAGTGATGGTGTGGGGACGTCCAAAGCGCCTCCTGCAGGGTCCTTTCCCAGCAGGCAGCTTCTGAGCTTTATTCCCCCATTTGATTTATAGCTATTTATTGCACCTAGGAGGAAGCTGGATGCTTTCAACTAAGCACGCTTCCGTTTCCTTTATGAATTAGATTTACTTGCGCTCGTAGTGTTTGGTGGTTACTCTTGACCAACCTTAAACACGCTGTTAACGTTTAAAAAATACCATTAAGAGTTTTATAGGCATCGTAACAGCCCTATACACACTACAAACAAAATCTCGGTATTTACAAAAATGAAAGTTGGATTTAAAAACTAGCTGGTTTTAACAGCAGTTCTTTTGATTTGGAACCAATTTTGAAATGCAATGTTTGCCTTTGAATGGAAAACTTCCCATGCACATCTATCACACGGAACCTAGATTCAAAGGAAAAGAATAGCGACGCCGGCTGAAAGGTTTGCCTGGTTATGCCCAGGTGAACAGGTCTCATAGACAGCATCAATTCCGCTGAGCACCTTTGTAAAAGTAATAACCTCACCGGCAGCAACAAGGGAAAAAATTGTTTTGCTGTGAAGTTCTTTATTAAACCAAAAGCGGGCTTTCTGCTTGCGGGAGGCTGTTGCCCCCAGTGTTGGTTCCGCAGCACCCGGGAGCGGCTCCGGGGTGTTAAACCCGGCCGGTTTTTGCGGGAAGGGAGGGAACGCCGCGGGGCTGCCGAGCCGAGGCCTCTGCCAGGGCCGGCCGGGCAGCACCGCGCACCGGAGCCGCAGGCTCCGACATGCGGGAGGCGTTGTCGGGGCTCGCCGCCGCTCACCCGAGCAGCGCCACGGGCCCTCAGCCACGAAAGGGGCGAGCTGACACGGGGAGGCCCCGCGGGGCAGCCGGCGGCTCCCCTCGCTCCCCCGGGCCAGGC